TTATCCAATATATGAAAACATAAAAATTGACATATGAATGATATAACATGATATTTTGATACATGTTTACACTGTGCAATCAGGTTAAACACATCTATCTCCTTAACATTTATTATTCCTTTATAGCAAAAACATTCAAATAATTTCTTCTAGTACACAATCAGTACCTATAGTCACCATATAGTGCAATAACACATCAGCACTTCTGATTCTTATCTAACTATAACTTATTATCCATTGATAATTTTCCCCATTCCTCCCCTCCACTGAATTTTCAATTCATCTGAATTCTTAATCAAAATGTTGCCAGGCATGATGGCATACACCTGTAATACCAGCAGTTAGGAAGGGGCTGAGGCTGGATGCTGGCAAGTTCAAAGCTAGCCTCAGCAACTTAGTGAGGCCCTAAAGCAACTTAGCAAGACCTTGACTCAAAATAAAACATAAAATGAGCTGGGGATGTGGCTTAGTGGTCAAGTGCCCTTGGGTTAAATCCCAAGTACCAAAAAAAAAAGTTTATTTTTCTGGTTGAGAGATTACTGCACCTATAATATATGTATGTATGTGTATAGATGGAATGTGTGTGTGTGAGTGTGTGTTTTTACAGAATGGTGTTTTCATGTAGTTTCTATATGGAGAACAGGTCACCAAATACTAGCTTTCATAGAGGCATGCATTTCAAACAATGCAAACTGGGACTATGTTTGTGATTATGTATTTCCAGCATAACACTATGAATTATGAACTATGTTTTCTACTACAGAACATCTTGGCAGCTCCAAAAGAATTAATGTTCAAGGAGCTAAAAGGAAATAGAATAAAAAATAATGTGAGATGTGGTTTTTCAAAACAGTTTAGAATGACTAGAAATGGGTGCTTTGATCCTTTGATACATAAGATGCTTTGTATTTTTCATGGTCTTCTCACTTGCATGATTTAATTTGATTCTAATAATATCTCTTGCAGATATATAAGTTTATTGTTGTTATCTCCATAGATTCTAAAACACATACCTGGAAGTTAAATAACTTGGACAATTTTTGCAAAGAAAGCAGGATTCAAAGAAAGCCAGAGAATACAACATGAGTTTTTACTAACTTGTCTCCCAGCTTCAATTTTTGTCTTCTTTCAATTTGGTCTCCATGCAGCAGCAAAGTGACCCTTTAAATATGTAAACCAGATCATCCACTCTCCTCCGATGGTTTCTCATTGTAATTCCAATCTACCCCAAGTCCTTGCAATGACTTACAGGTCCCTGGATGAACAGTCCTCTGGAGGCCAGAAGAGACCTTCTGGTCTCCCTTTTGTTCATTTTCATCCAGGTTCATCAATTTTTCATTTTCTAAATATATCAAGCACTTTCCTGCCTCAGACCCTTTGCAAGTTCTGTTTTTTTGTTTTTTGTTTTTTTGTTTGGGATGTTCTTCTCACGTATGACAAGCTCCTTATTATTTGGATCTCAGCTGAAATGTCACCTCCTCAGAAAGGCCTTCCTTGATGTTCCTATGTAACTGAGCACCCTTCACCCTCTTAGTCTCTCATTGCAACAGAGCTTCCCAGCCTGAGCACCTCAGTATACTGGTGCTTTAATAGGATTAAAAAGGTGTTGCCATAGTGACCCCTCAGCCCTGGAAAGAACTGGGGGCACAGGAGTCCTTCAGATATGCTCAACCTTATCTTTACTCCAATGTTCTGCAGATATCTCAGTTTTTATGCATAGCATCATGTGAACATATTTGGGAATCACTACTAGCATCATCTCGGATTACTTTTCTGGTATCATGTATGGCTACTGGGAATTCACCAATTCGCTTATTTGTTCATTACATCTCTCTTCACTGAATGTAATGGAATTTATTTTGTTCATCCATGTACATCCTATAGGGTTTTAAATAGCACCTGCCACACAGTGGGTGCTTATGTTTATTTGTTAAAACGATGAGCCCTCTCTCTTGTCAAGAAAGGAGTGGCTGGGATAGGACATTGAGTGAGGACTTGAGAAATTCAAGCTTTGAGGTGGTGAAATGATCCTGCTGCTACTACAAGCCTAGAAATAGAGTCAATGCAATTTTGTAATATTATTCTTCCAGAGAATAAAGTCAGAGCAAAATGAGCAGATTGGAATATAAGCTAAGTCTGAGACTGTGGAAGTTTCTGCCAAAATCAGTACTTGTAAATTCATAATATTTATTTAATATTTAATACTAAAACAAAACTTCCGATATTTACTGAGACAATAACTTTCATCCTTTGGGGAATAGAGTAAAACCAAGCTACAAAAATCAGCTTCTATTTCTCTCTCTCTCTCTCTCTCTCTCTCTTTTTCTTGTGATTTTCTGTTTCCCATCAATTGTTGCCCTCGGTCAGTAAGTAGTTAGCTGAATGAAGGTCAAATCTTGTAGCATGAATTACCAAAACTACTATAGCTATGATTTTGACAGCAAACTACTGATTTTCTCTAAGAAAAAGCACAGAATTGCAAAAGGAATTACCATTCTATGTCAAAGACAATGCTCTGCTAATAATAACCTAATTAGAATTCCATCAGGTAAATTTTTTCTTCATGAGTTTTATGCTCACAATGCACACACACAAGACATTTGCTGAAGAAGTCTATTTTCTCCCTATTTGCAATTTTCTTATGATCTGCCTGCCCACCCATTCCTTAACTCATGTAACATACATTGGGCAGACAGAAGAGCTCCATTTCATCTGAGGAATAAATATCATGTCTACTGCCAAATTGGTTAAGCAGTATTCTTACAGTGGTTTCTGTGAAATGATTTCACATTGAATCATTATATGGGGAAGCCGGGTGGCCACAGATCCTGTTTAAGGTGCTGATCAAGTTGCAAGTGTTATCTGTCCTTCGATCAGTCACCATACCAGGGGAGCGCATTCTACTCTAACACTGTTCTTTTCATTTTTCTATATTGATTTCTCAGAAATAGGTTTCAGTATTCTGGAGGCATTACCAGCTGAGAAGGGACATTAGCAAAGAGCAATCTTAAGCTATGTCTACGTGAGGTCTCTACAATTGCTTTTGAAGTGAAACGGTCAATCTGCCTCTATCTTTGGAGGAGGGAACCAAGCAGCCCAATTTACTGACTTTGCTCCACTGAGGAACTTAAATTTTGCCCGAATTGACCAGTCAGTTTAAGACAAAGTAGCTTTTGCCTACATTGCAAATCAAAGAGAGGGGGAAAGAAATTGAGCAATTAGATTGTCTAACAGGTTTACCTATAAGAAATTTCATTTGAGCTTTTATTTGAAAGTCAAAACTCTTCTAGGCTCTTCTACTGCTAATTGCTGAGGCCAGTTTGGGTGACTGCATGGTTTGATATGTGACTGCAGATTGCAGATTGAGGTTATTCTTCACCTTGAGCTTCTTTGCTATGTTTTTTTTTTCCTTTGGGTTTGTGTGTGTGTGTGTGTGTGTGTGTGTGTGTGTGTGTGTGTGTGT